CATCCCCTCGCTCCTCCGCACCTCAACTCCGTGACGACCCCCGGCTGCGGGGAGCGTGCAGCGACAGCCCCGTGCCGCCGTGGACACCCAAGCGGGCGCAGCCGAGCAACAGCCGCTCGCGCGCTCTCCGGCTGGCTCCAAGCCGGGGGGGGGGGGGGGGGGCTCCACCAGAGCCACCCCACACCGAACCCCAACACCGGGCAACCCCCAACAGTCAGCACCTGCGTCCTACCGCCACCTGCCTGAAATCCACCAACTCGCCAACTCCCAGCAGCAGTCATTCGGGCACGCTGGCAGCGACGAGACTCGCGCGAGCGGCACCGGCACGCGGAGCGAGCGAGAGCTGACATCAACGCGAGGCGCGAACATCCACACCGGGGCGTGTATGTGTGTGTGCGTGTGTGTGTGTTTTGTGTGGCACAAGCGTCGTGGTGACGTCACCGCCACTTAGTGGCGAATGGCGGTTGTTGTTGTTGTGTTTTGTGTGCGCGTGTGTGTGTGTGTGTGTTCGTGCGTGTGTGCGTGCGCGTGTGCGTTTATGTGTGCGCGTGTGTGTGTTTGCGCGTGTGTGTTTTTGTGTGCGCGTGTGTGTGTGTGCGCGCGTGTGTGCGTGTGTGTGTGTGTGTGCGGCTGCCGTCTCTATTACACTGCTGGTATAAATGTGCTAAGAAGAAGGGACAAGAAGGGCCATTGCCTGAAACGTCATCGATTATACATGCATTTTTATTTTAAGGCCACAGTGTTGTTGACACGGAACCTTTGTCGAGTGGTTTTGCTTCATTCCGCTGCGGCGCGTATACCGCGCGTGAACCACGCGTATATCGCGCGTGAACCACGCGTGAACCACGCGTGTACCGCGTGAACCACGCACCGAGCCACGCGTGTGCAACCGGTCGCATGCGCCGCGCATCCGTTTCCGCTTCGACGCCAAACGCACGCACATTACGACAACGCACGCGTTCATGCAGAGCTTCTCTTGGTGGCAGTCAGGGGATTTATAATACACCGATAATTACCGCCGGCTCGCTCCACGTGCGTGTTTGTTCGCGTTCTCGTTGTGGCAGCTGTACAGGTTGCGGCGAGGCGGCCCCACGCTCTGTTCTCATAGCAGTTGGGGTATTTATTTATCAGCGGTACGTGTAATGCGCCCGCTCTCATTTGCCCACAATTACCCAAGCGGGTAATTCCTATCATGTAACAGCGGCCATGCAGGGAAGGTGTGGGGCTGTGAATCCTGGGACCCCGCCGGAGGAATTGGCCCAAAGTTCACCCCCTCCCTCCCCTCCCCCCCCCCCGCACTGCGGTTCAATTACAGGTGTCGCCGCCACGCTCAGAGTCCCGGCTCTCAGAGGAATCGGCGAGAATGCCTCAGGCACCGACAGACTCTGAGCTAATCGCTCGTTTTGTAGTTCCAGCCGGCTCGCCGAGCCTCACTCCGAGCGCTTCTTGTGTGGATGGGGGGGGGGGGGGGTGGGACGTTCACAATTCTAACAGTGGGATCCAAAGTGACGCGCGACTTTAATGTTGCAAACAAACAGCCCCCCCCCCCTCCCCCACCCAACTCCGGGGAGCCCGACTTGGCTCTATTAGTAATGTAGCCGCCGTCGGCAGACGCGCGCGCGGTCTTAACGCCGCTGCCAATGCTCGGCTCGCGTTCCCACTGCCCTATGCCACGGGGTGCTGCCGCGCTCACGATGCGTGGATTACCGACGCCTCCGATGGGACAGGTGCACTCCTACGGTCCCAAACAAAGAGTCCCGATTCCGCATTCTCACAGAGCCGCGACGCCCTCGTGGGAAACGGCCGATAGCCCCGTCACCTGCAGACGTTCACGCTGCAGACACGGAAACCGCGCTCACTGCTCAATGAGCCAGCGGCCATTCACACGGCAGTGATATCGCGACGAACGTTGTTATTCTCTTGCATTCGCTACGTGCAGATGACAAAACGTTAAATGCCGTCACGTGACTTTGCTAATATAATACGCTTTAAAAAGAGGGAAGGGGAGGGAGGGGGGGGGAGGAAAGAGAAGCGAAGAGGGGAGGGAGGGGGAAAGGGGAGGGAGTGGATGGAGGGAGGTGGGAGTGGGGAGGGAGGAGGGAGAGGAAGGGAGGTAGGCAGGTAGGGGAGGGAGGGCGAGAGGGGAGAGAGGGGGCCACACTAAAAAATGACCCAGATGTGCAATCTGACACTCATTTGAAATTCAGCTACGCATGCCCCCATGATATGACATTAGCATGTGCGGTGGAGCAGAGGTGTAGCCAGCCGGAGGTGGACGGGGGAGGGGACGGATGAGGAGGGGTGTGAGTGGGGGGGGGGGGGAGTTTATCACTCGACAGTTTTGGACAGCTATTAGAAATGCCACGAGCCATTTGAGATGTTTCACACGCGTAAAAATCCTAAATTAACTACGTATCATTCCCAATGCATTTTATACACATGTAATATTAATTAATGTAAAATTACTTAATGTAATATTACTTATATTCTTAGCTCTTTCGGTAAAGTCACGTTGAAGGGAAACAATAAAATAATAAAATATATATAAAACCAATAAAAAATTCTCACGACGTTTTTTAAAATATATTTTATTATATTATTGTTTCCCTTCAACGTGACTTTACCGAAAGAACTAAGAATATGAATTACTGCAGTCACGAACGCTTTTAATCAAAATGTAATATTACTTAATGAAGACTTTTCTCTTTTTACGTGCAATAAATGTAGTATCGTGGAATGATTTGAACCGCGGTGTTTGTGTGATTCTTTATTTGTTTGTATTTCTGGGTGCGCCTCCACCGCGGATGATGGCCCCTCGACAGCGCGGCGCGCACTTATCCACGTGGATTTGCGGCACCTTCTGGCTCGAGAAGCCGGGGAGGGAGTTTGTGGTCGCCGCTCACTCCGACTCCAGCGCTCAATGCTGCACCCTCTCCCAAGGACCCATTGCACAAGGCATGGCACGCATTCGCGCCGTGCGTATATTTATATAATTTGGTGCTGCTGCTGCATTGCCAATGGCGCATAAGCACACACATGTTTACGAACGCATCCGTCAGTACCACTCTGGCCTGGAAATAAATATATATAAAATAAGTGAGGTTTTGTGATGTGCTATAAAGAAGGGCTATTGCCTGAAACGTCATCTATTATATATTTTTACTTTTAAGGCCAGCGTGTTATTGAAGAATATGTAATGCGTGGCTACAGTAGGCTATGGCCAATTCCACCGTCACGGAATTACAGCAGGTAATACAAATACGTGAAGATGGCAACAATTGTCACATTCATCGTTGGGGCCTCTGGCTGCGAGTTTCAAATCGTGTTCACGGCCAACAGTGGCGACGTGGCTGGAACGCTGTGAACCTCGTGACCCGATTTGCTATTCACAGCCACGGCTAACATCAGTGGCGAGCGATGTCTGAAGCAGTCATGGCTCCCTCCCCCCCACACTCAATTCATAAACCCATTCTGACCATCTCAGTGAAGTATAGTCAACAGTGCCCCGTGACGGACGCAGCATGGAGGAGATCTCTTTCACCAGCGATGGAATAACAAAGCGCTGTGAATTAATATGAATTTAACATTTTCCTGCACAGCAGCCTGCCACGGAGCGATGATAATTATTCATGTACACCTGGTTGCATTGTCCTTGTAATGTTATTACCGTGTAATCAATCACCGAGCTACACACACATATCTATAACGTATTAACCAATCAACATCACCCCTGATCAATTCACTGCTGGATCGGTCAACGGTCAATCCATTGCCTCCTCAAGTCGCTGCCAGCTGTCTCGATCCTGCGATGGATGAAACAATCCATCCAGCACCTCCACATGAAGCGATTTCAACCCCGGGTGTGTAAATGTAGAGACAAAGATCCCCCGTAAAGCCCTAACGGACGTTTGGGGAAAGTGCTGTTAACAAGCACGTATGAAGGCCGGCACGGCACACGAGGGGGTGGGTGGGCTACTCCATGACCGACCGTCTTTGTCTCCCCAATGGCGATGCTTACACATCGCACCAGCTACTCATTTGAGGCCGAGTTCACCGAGGCACCGGTTCAGATAATTGTTACTGGGATTGGCCGCGCTAACAGCTACGCACAGCACACACACATCAACACGACTACCATGCACACACGCGGGATTTGTTGGGTCGTTCTATTGCCATGGATAATAATAATGGACGAGAGTTACCCATTGGGTAATGTCACATTGGGGTGTGTGTCTATATATACAGTGCTGTACATAGTTACATAATGACCTATTTTTATATTGTCACGTGCTCGGTTCTAATAGGATAGGCAAACCGCAACATTTGGTGAAAATGCCCGAGTCAGCCTACATAGAACGCGTGTGAATTGTAGTGTTAGTGGGGAGCGGTGGTGCAGTGGTTAGCGCGCTGCGTCTGCGAACACAGCGACCAGAGTTCAATTCCCGCTCACAAGCAACATCAGTGGGGAATATTTGAACCCCACCTTGGCCTCCCCTGGGTCGACTCACCCTTACACGAACACATGATGCGGTAGTATAAACATCAGAACTGGGGAGACAAAGGCGGCCGGGCGTGGTGTTGGTCACCCACCCCATCGTGTGCCGTGCCGGCCTTCATTAATGTTCGCTAACAGCACTTGCACCAACAGTCTGTTAAAGGCTATACGGACATTTTTCAGAAATATTAATTATAAATATTTCATCAATAGCACAGCTCCATACGCTACATATCCTGTCACCCGCGGCTTTATCAGCAGATAACGCGACTATTTTGAAAAATAGCAGATAATGGGACGATTCTGAAGCTCCAACTCTCTCTTATCCGCGCACAATAGGGAAGTCGTCCCGAAAATCAACAACGCAAGGTGGGGGACCGCGAGCAGTCGCGGATAATTGGAGGAAGGACTCAACAACTCCCGTGGATAACAAGATTCGTGGGGTGACGTTCTGCTGTACCAAACGGCGCGCGCGGCTTACGTGGACTATGGAAACAAATCTCACCTGCAGAGCCCAACAGCAGGTTCGTATGGAGCAGCAGCAGCAGCACTTCTAGAGAACATCCCATGTTTGCGTCCGATGCGGTGCATCAACTCCAGAGAGAGTCCCCCGTCCGTGAACGCGATTTAGCTGCGTTCCGTTAATAGGTCCAGCGTGATTATCTGCACGGCAGCAAGGAGATAGAGAGAGGGAAGAGAGAGGGGAGAGAGAGAGAGAGAGGGGAGACAGAGAACAGAGAGGAGGGAGAGAGAAAGAGAATCGTTTGCGTGTGGAACGCAGACCGAAGTGAAACTGCATTCACGACGCCCGATCTCCGGAGCAAAGCAACGCCGCTAAGCCGGATTAGCAGCCCGTCATGCGGCACCCAGCCTCGGGAATGGGGGGACGAGCAGGTGTTGTGAGCTCGGCTTGCGGAGGTGACTAGGAGACGGGAGTGCAGCGATGGATTCTTGAGTGCATCTGTGCGGAGTTGTTTTGGTTGTTGAGTATCACCCGCCGGTTCGGGTTACGTTGATGCAATAAGTGGCCACACAGTCCAACCAGGCACACGCGCCTGGCAAACAGCCTCGAGACTCATCAAGCAAGGGATGCTTGGGTAAGGGCATAATTATCATCATAAAAAAACACCACACATTCGTCAATAAAACAGTGCATTATATGCAACGTTTCAGGCAATGGCCCTTCTTCAGAAAGCATAGAGCAACGCCTGCATCTCTCTGACCTCTATATGATGTGGAGGGCCATTGCCCGAAACGTCGCCTATGATATTTTGTTTTTTGTAATGTTCAAGGCCACAGTGTAATTGACGGATGTGGCGAGTTTGTTCTTTGTGCACCACTGCCAACCGAGCGAATTACAAAGAATTCACAAATTATTATGGAATATCCCCCCCCACCTCCCCTCGACAGGGAGGTGGGGGGGGGGATTGGGGGGGATGATTGGGGGGGAGTTGGGGGTGATTCGGGGGGAAGTGGGGGGGATTGGGGGGGAAGTGAGGGGGGTGATTGGGGGGGAAGTGGGGGGGGGTGATTGGGGGGGAAGTGGGGGCGGTACCTGGGTTTTAAGTGATGCTCTACTCATGCACGCACGACGCCCATTCGTGAGTTTTAATTACGAGCCCCTCAGTGTTCATACAATTACTTAATTTTAGTCGTGCGAAACTCTGTAAAGCGGATACTCATAAAAAAGACGTCGCTCGTTAGTTATTCGCCTCTAATGCACGCGTTCGTAGTTCTGCTACTTCACGTTCAACACATTTAACCAATTAGTGAACCAGGAATCCGTGACCGGCTGATGGCACCGCTAACCGCCACGGTCGGGTTGAAGGCGCGTTCCGGTTTCTCGCGAGTATTTCACTCTCAAGTGTAACAGCGCCCTTGGTTTCAATACAACTTTTGAATAATAATAACATTGATAATTTTCGATTTAAAGCTTTCGTGACTGCAGGGATTCATATTCTTGGTTCTTTCGGTAAAGTCACGTAGAAGGGAAATAATAAAATAAAACATAATAAAATTAAATTCTCACGACGTTTCGGCCACAACGCAATCAGCCGTCCTCAGGTGAAGAACAGAGCTGTCGGAAAGACAGCGTCCAGGATAGCTCTGTTCTTCACCTGAGGACGGCTGCTTGCGTTGTGGCCGAAACGTCGTGAGAATTTTATTTTATTATGTTTAATTTTTATTATTTTATTATTTCCCTTCTACATGACTTTACCGAAAGAACCAAGAACATTGATAATAGTGTCATCTGTTTATTCAGGAAAAAAAACCTCAAGACTATTTTCAGGAGAGTGCTGCATTGGGATCTTTTGGCCGATCCCAAGAATTGAGACTTTTGGCTTCACCTGGGAGGAAACCTTCGAACCCGCGGGAATCCCAACGCCACGGCACCCCAGGGGATGACAGCACTCCAGGCTCCGCACAGATTCATTGAACCCAGACTCATTGACTCATTGAACGCACTTTGCTGTACTGCCATCTTCTGGCCACCTAGAAGCTCTGCTGAGTTCCTTTCGGGAGTTCCACGCGTTTGCGTGATCCACCAACCCTAGCCACGAACGTGCACCGCACGCATTCCCTCACTTCATGCGCATTTCAATATTTACATCAGCATCAACAGCCATGCTCAAACCGCTGCTGGATGAAGGCGTCCCCCCAAACCACAGACATCTCCGACGGTCCTGCGACGTGAGAATGAACCCAGCACCCGCGCACCACGAGCGGATTTCGCCGCTCCATCTCCCTACGGTTCACGTCCTCTCGGACGCGTCCCATTCCTCGGCTGCCTCTCCTCCATTCGTCTTCATTCTTCAACCCTCGTAGCGACGCGCCCTGCCCAATTTGACTTTCCTTCGCAGTTTTGGCTGACGTCTTTCGCCTGCGTATGTTCTCCAATCCGCGCGTCCCTCTATCCCTTTTTCGACATAATCCCTGTGTATCCTGTATATACGTGCCGCATATTCACAAACAATCAATATCCCCATAAACGTCCGCATTAAATCCCTGCATACACTGAACATATCGGACGCCTGGCGTCCAACACGCCGGCCGAATACCACCGCAGTCGACACAGCGCACGTGAGCGCGTGTTGCAGGAGCTAGGAGGATTATTAGGAGACATTCATCCAGCAGTAGATTGACTCTGGCTGCCGACGGTGATAACAAGACTCACGGGAAGAGCACACAGACACGCGTCGTGCAGGCAGATAGCGACGCGTGGACGCGCGGACGCCCGCAGCTGCACTCACTCCTCTCTCGGGCAAGCGTCGCGACGCTCCGTCAGGGTGCCCGGTCGGGACAAGTCGCGACAGACTGAAGGCAATCCTCGCTTTGCGCACCTGGCAGGCCGTCCGGCTGGTGGTGTCGACGACGACGATGGTGACGATGACGACGATGATGAAGAACTGGAGGGAGGAGGATCCACTTTTGCAGGCGAAGAATGCGAAATTGTCTCCGCCTGCGTTTTTGCCGCTTGCAGCCGCTGCTGATGCCGCCGCTGCTGCTGCTACCAGCTGCTCGTTATCCGCTCACCATGCTTCCTGCTGCTGCTGCTGCGCTGTGCGTGGCGTGTGCCCCGTGCGTCGTCACCGACACCGCCGCTGGAATCGTTCCTCCGAGCACCGCGCTCGAGGTCGCCCCCCCACCCGCCCCGAGGGTTCCGGCTATCCGCGCCGCACTCCGCCGCTGCCGCTGGACGCGCGGAGCTCGCGCGCGTCGTGCGCGAGATGTGCATCAGACGCACGCGGGCGCGTTCGCGTTTTATACACGGGCTGTCGTCCAACTCCACAGCTTGCTGTGTATATATGGCGATATATAGCGTTCAGTGCTGGTGCAAGAATGGCATTTATATTAGGTGTGTCAGAACTATATTATATACACTATGTAATTGTAACGCACCATTTATATATATTTTATCTAACACGATGCTTGCAGCAGCCGATAGTTGGCTGGAGACCACGACCACCGCGTGTTCGCCGCTAGTTCTCTCCGTGTTCTTCCCTAGCTCGGTCGTTCCCTTTATTATGAATGGGCCCTTCTCTCTCTCTCTCTTCTCTTTCTCTCTCTTCTCTCTCCGTCGTAAATTTTCATCCGGTCACTCCAAAAACTCCGACGCGGAGTCGCACGGCGCCAACGCTTTGCCTCTCGTGCCGCGCGCTCCGAGTTCCGCACCGCTCCGCTCGCCGGAGCGCCCGCGTGTGCACGCGCGTGGCTGCGTGCGCGTGCGTGTCTGTCTCGCCCCTATAGCACCCCCACCGCGTAGCACCCTCCATACCCCCCCCCCCCACACACACACATACCCCCCCCCCCCAGCCTCCGCCTGTCTATGTTGTGTGGGTGGGTTTATTTGGTCCGGACGATCAATCATCAGCGCTCAAAAATGAATTCGGCGAAGAAACGACTGAGAGTCTCCACGAGGGGCCAGAAGACAGCGTCACTGCTGCGTTCGCCTTCACGCCGGCGCCACGCCTTAATAATTATTCAAACAAAACATTAAAAAAAAACATAACTCGACACATTCGTCGACGACTCTGGCGCCTTGTAATCTAAAAAATATATATAACAGGCGACGTTTCGGGCATTGGGCCTCCTACATAGCACATTCATCGAGAGACGCAGGGTAGACGTTCAAAGTTGGAGAGTGCACTCGCTTACACCATGGGGCCTGATGAGAGATTTTTTTTTGCAACGTTTACTAATCTCCACTTTTATCAAATAGGCGTATAAGTAGCCAGACTCGCAGCAGCTATTGAGCCACAATCAACCCCTACAATTACATATGAAGTAATTATCATTAAATGACACGTGCGACATGAATTAAATAAATAAGGGAGGGGGGTGGTGAGTGCGAACAGTGACCGGGTCTCACCATCGCGTGCGTTCGGCAGAAGCGGTGGAGCCAGGGAAACAACAACAACATGGGCGGCGGTGGTGGTGGTACAAGCCGGCAAACCAGTCGAGAGAGGGAGCCTCCTCCCTCGCGCGCACCATTACAACCGCGCTGCCGCACAGCATCGCAACAACAACCAGAACATAGCTCTCACGAAAACAACATCCTTAGTCCTAGGTATGTCGCAGCCACGATGTTCCCCGTGACATTATACAAGATCTGGGAATTGCATTTGGCCAGCTGCAGCGCTACGTGCCGTCGGTTGCGTTTGTGCTTTTGTACGGAGGCTTTTTGTATGCATTCGTGCTCTAAACGTAGCCACGCGCGAGGCGTTCTCCTCGGGGGGCCGTGCTCCGCTTCACGTTGCGCGCCGTCGCAGACTCGACACGGCTGCCGGCACGAGGCCAACGTCCTGAATCGCCAGCTCCGACCCGAGCACAGCGTGTGCCCTCCGCCAGAGTGCCACCCGTGGTCAGACTCGGCGCTGGGGGGGGGGGACAATTCGTCCCCCACGTCGATTCGTCGATCCAAAAAAAGCAGTGACGCGCCACTCGCTGCCTTGGTCGTCGATTTCCAGAGTCCCTTTAAAAATGGCAACCGGCCACACATCCTGCACCCTGAAGGCGGGAAACCCCCCTCCCCTGTCCACAATATGCCACGCTCAGCGTAACGCGGATGCTTATGCAGATTACATGGCCAAGCCCTGCTCGTATCACCTCCCGTCCAGCGGCACGCGTCGTGAAAAACGAAGCGAGACTTTTCCTTTCCGCCCCCAACTATCTTGATGTGGTCTCGTGAGTCGATTACTCGGACTGATTAATAATCATCGGTCGAGTAACCCATGACTTAAATCATCGATTACCCCAGTTCTATTTAGAATGCAACGTCCTTCGACCGCTTACCTGCCCATTCACTCCTCCTGCTCACTTCGCTCGCGCTTTGCAACGCCTTCGTTGCTACCTCGGCCACGTTGGCATTTCTCATTTATTTCGAAGGATGTATTTATCTATTTATCTATCTCTTTCAAATCGGTATCCACCTCTCCCTGATCCTCCTCCACCGGGGACTCACTCGTGCGTTCTGTTTAGAAACCTCCATGGCTCCTCGTTGCGTGGCTTGCTTCATAATCCCTCAATTACACTCTGCCGCCCAGCCGCGCGTCTTACAAGGCAGCTACATTGCTGCCGGCCTTGCAAAGCGTCGTAAACACCGGAATCAAAGAGTGGAACATATGCATTGGGGAGGTGAGAGCTAGCAGTTTGAAGTGTGGATCACTCAGCCAATAACTCCCCCAGCCAGCCAGGAGCTCCCTCCCATCCACTCACCCTCACCCCAACTAAATACATGAGCAGAACGCGACGTCTCCTTGCACATATCTTTCTCCGCATACAAAAATATCGAAATACAATATAACGTAATTCTAATTCTTTTACAGATCCCATCAGCCACAGGGCCTTTTCGGTGTGTTTATTTCGTGTCTGATGAGCAGTTCGAATTATTTAAAGCAATGCAGGTGTACTGCCAGATATATCGGCAACGTTCCTCACCGTCTGATACGTGAGACAGAGCCCCTAGCAGCTCGCTCGTGCTATCCCGACAACAGCCGCCCTTCACCGCTAAGTGGCGGTGACGTCACCACGTCGCCTGTGCCAGGCTAGGTGCACCTTGAGGCCACGTGAAGAGTCGAAGGCACGCTGGGGTTGACTGACTGAGACGACTGGCAGGTGCACCACCTGTACTCCCCTACTGTGCTGCGTTTTAACCGCCCGGCGCTCCGCTCGTTGTTGTGAGCGTCGCTCTTCCACCCTACAATGTTGTTAGAGGGCGACTGCCTTCAACTGCCCAGGAGCGTCTTTCACGAGCCTCCTCCACAGAGGCACACCGATGGCACAAGCCATCGGCAAATCCACTCAGCTCCACGTCCTCCTGTACCAAATCAGCTCCGTCTCCTCTCTAGCCCGTGCCGCGCCCGGTTAGCCCCCTCTATCCCGCCAGACAGAAGATGTTTGGGCATGCGGTGGCAGGGCATGCGGGCTCCGTGAGAAGCTCACTGCTGAGGCTATGTGCAGTGCTACCCACTCACCCTCACACTCACCCCAAACCTTGGCGCGTTGCCACGGTTCATTTGTGTTTGCTATTTGTTCTGCAGTTCTCACGTTCACCACCGCCTTAACGGCGTAAACTCCGCTCGCTCCGCGTGTGAGCCACCTTCAAGGCCGTTCACCTCCCCGTCCAAATGCCAGGGATTGTCTCAAGCATCACAATTCGACTGAAAACATCGCTTGTTTTGGTGATGTTGCTGTGTTCCCAGTGGTACACGAGAACACATAACAACCTCGATACATTCCTCAATAACACTCCGGTCTTAAAAGCAAACGAATAATTCGCGACGTTTCGGGCAATGACCCTTCTTCACAGCACACAGAAAGGCCAGAGGGGTATATTATTGTTATTTATTTCCTCGTTTGGATCATTTGTGTCGTCTCGTTCGTGCAGCTGTAATAATGCACGAGCCTGCATGAGACATCACCACAGCATTTGCATTCAACTTGCATGGCATTGTAAGTTCTCGATATTTGCGCACGAGATGCGATGCATGCTTCGTGAGACCAACAAAACAAATCGATACGTAGAGACAGAGCCGTCTATATGGTGTGGCGAATTGGGGCGACTGTCCTGGGCCCCGCGCTTTGGGGGGGAGGGGGGCACGCGTCGACGTGACGGTGTCAGATGGAACACTTCCGATTCAGTTTGAAGGTGCTGGGGGGGGGGGGGGGTCCCACACAGTGGGGTTTGGCCCGGGCCCTGCACCCCCCTATGGATGGCCCTGTCTTGAGATTCATTCATTGGGAAATATTTTCTGGGGAAGACAAACAAACCCTCTGGACCCCGTCCCACATACAAACTGGTGCAGACGGGGGGGGGGGGGGGGGGGGGGGGCGCAACATATTTTCCGGAGCTCTGCCCCGGAGTGCTCCGTCTGAAAAATGAAACCCTTGGCTGCTTCCCGAGAGCGAATGGGGGGCTCGCGATATACAGCGCTTTGTCACCGGGCTGCCATAGCCCACGATTCTCAGTGCGTGCGTGTGTGTCTATGCCGCTGATGCCCCCTTGTGTGATGTTGTGCTGCCTCGCTTTACAAGAGTGTGGTCAGCCACCTCAGCCTGGTGCTTATCGCCACGCACCAGCCCAAGGCTTTCATCAACTCCGGCTCTCAGACACGTGCAGGATGGGGGACGGCCGATTACCCGGACTCGAGGTCGCCACGAGTCCGGGTAGCAAGGGGAAGGTCTGAGAGCAGATTCTGGGGTGCTGTAGGAGCAGACCTCTGGGTCTCGGTGTGAGTCTGTGGGGCTTGGTGTGAGTCTGTGGGTCTCGGTGTGAGTCTGTGGGTCTCTGTGTGAGTCTGTGGGGCTTGGTGTGAGTCTGTGGGTCTCGGTGTGAGTCTGTGGGTCTCTGTGTGAGTCTGTGGGTCTCGGTGTGAGTCTGTGGGTCTCGGTGTGAGTCTGTGGGTCTCGGTGTGAGTCTGTGGGACTTGGTGTGAGTCTGTGGGTCTCTCTGTGAGTCTGTGGGTCTCGGTGTGAGTCTGTGGGTCTCGGTGTGAGTCTGTAGATCTCTGTGTAAGTCTGTGGGTCTCGGTGTGAGTCTGTAGATCTCTGTGTGAGTCTGTGGGTCTCGGTGTGAGTCTGTGGGACTTGGTGTGAGTCTGTGGGTCTCTCTGTGAGTCTGTGGGTCTCGGTGTGAGTCTGTGGGTCTCGGTGTGAGTCTGTAGATCTCTGTAAGTCTGTGGGTCTCGGTGTGAGTCTGTAGATCTCTGTGTGAGTCTGTGGGTCTCGGTGTGAGTCTGAAGGTACTCGTGTGTTTCCTGTACATCTCTGTGAGTGTATCTCTGTCAATTACAATCAGTCTAGTCATCGATTTAATCGACAAAAATGAATATGAACTTTTTTCTCAACATTTGGAATCACGTCAAATAAATGTGTACTGTGTATCGCACTCAGAAATTAATTTGGCCAACGTCCCAATGTAGCAGGACCCTCCTGAAAACGTGAAAACGAGTCTTGGGACTCGGCGAGGCCTTCCTGGGTCAATAATAATGTAATTACAACTCAGAAAATGAAATTTGTTAATCCCCCCCCCCACCCCTCGAGATTTGTAAACGTGAGAGCTCCAAATAATTTGTTTCCATCCCATTGATGGGAAAGAAGACAAACAACTCACATCACCTCACAGAGAACAAAGCAGACACTTCGCAACGCCGTCGTGAATAAAACACGAGCTGGTGATGCTGCAGTTGCGTTGGTAGTGACGCACGAACACA